TAGTAAAGTCCTGAAGCTAGCTCTGACAGTTCACTCTTCCTGCAAGGAACACGAAAAACAAGTGTCATAAAAAGGTTGTGAAACCTCTGGCAGAGCAGTCAGTATCTGCAAATCTGTATTTGTTTATCTCACTGCACTCCGAGGCTTTATAACCACCAAGGTGAAGCACTTGCAGTCATTGGTGTGCTAACAAGGGCTGGGGAAAGGCTCATCAAGCGATCCTAAAGGCTGCTAATCAAAAAGAGAGTTGCAGGAGTGTTGCTTACAGGGTGGCATTTTCTGTCATTGGCCCTACCATGCAAATACAGCTCCACATGAAAACACACAGCTCAGGAAATGCGCCTGCAGAGCACTTTTGTTTCTGCATCAGTCCAAGATTAAACACAATTTTGCTGATGGTATACAAAATAAAGTGGAACTGCCCAGACTTTGCTACAAGTTTGTTCAGTGATGGTGTTTATTCCTGGATGTGTTTTCACTTCTTAAAGACTTCAAGGAAGGCTATCAACAGTGTGGTTCTTCACGAAAGAAAACTTACAGTTCTGCAGGGAACGTGAAGACAGGAATTTGACCACAGTATCCAATGCCGTATTATTTGGGTACCACAATCTCCAGTGAAATAATCACAGCACAGGTCAGTGACAGAAACCACCCTTAATTTTTTCCTTTGTGTCTCAGAAACAGCCCACATCAGCATCAAAAAGAACTTGTATGCAAAGCAAGGGCAGACGACTTCAGTCTAGGCACACCTGGGGGCTTGCAGACATGACTTGTATCACAGCAACAAACTCTCCAATCCTTCAGCCTGAAATCCCCACTGCCTGAGACAATGAGACAAGTTTCCCAAAAAAAAGGTCCACAACAGGAACTTTTCCACCCACAACTGCTAAGATGGATGGATGGATGATCTGACAGATGAGTGCTGTGAGCTGATTTCACTTTCATTTGGGAATGACCAGGTGGCAAGGACAGGGAAGTCCTTCAGGTCCTTCTCAGGTGGCCAGGATGAAATGAAGGACACGAACTCTCCTTGGGAACACCAACCACGCCAGCCTGACACCTGTGAGCCCTCAGGGACCAGCACCACTGCACATGGTGAGCGATGCAGAGCCCCAGGAGGCCACTGGGACTGGGTGGGATTGCAGCTGAGGTCCAGAGTATTTGCATGGGGTCACGAAACCAGCTAGTGATGAGAACTGGAGCCACCAGGGCAGGGAGGTCACCCTGGGAGGGAAACGTTCCTACAGCTTCTGGACGTGCCTCTGCATCCTTGGTGGCTGCAGGCTGGGCGCGTGCCCTGCATTCCCCCCCAGCCCCGCAGGACTCCCCGCCACAGCCAGAGCACAGGAATTTTGGGGGATTAGCAGGCAGTAATCCTCCCCGCAGGAGCAGAGACATTAACATTCCCCAGCAGGGCCTGTGAGCTGCTGCTGACCTACATCCCTGTCACCATGGGGCGTGCGCGATGTCACCTGGCTTGGGCTTGGAGAAGCATCCTCCCATGGCGAGCCGAGGCAGCACCTTGCTGCAGCCCTCACGCTGCACAGGACACAAGCCAGGACGGGGACGGTGGGAAGGTCAGCGAGGGCGCAGGCACATCCTCGCATGGCAGCCCCTCCTGCTCAAAACGTCCTGGGCTTCGGGCTTCCTTCACCACCTGCATGGGGAGAAGAGATGCGTGAGAAGCACCGCCTGGGGTGAGGGTGGGTGTTGCAGTGATTGCTGCAAGACCCAGGCAGCCGGTGACACGATGGACAACATGAGACTGCGGCACCAAGGTCACCCTTCTGGGGTCCACCGGAAAATTCCATCACCCTTCCCGAAGTTTAAAACTACAAACCCCGTATGATTTATCTTCAGACTTCATTATACTTTCCAAAGCCCTGTCTTTGGTAATTAAATCCTTAAGCACTTAGGTCTGAGCCCAAATGCAATGATTAAACCATAAATACAGGTTCAGTCAGATTTCTGCTTTTATTATTAGATGATGGGGAAGAAAAAAAAAAAAAGAAAAGAAAAAAAAAATCCACTTTACTCATTCTGCAGTCCCTTTCCATTAACACTTATTCCTGCAGAAATCCCATTCCCTTTGGAACAGTTATTTATCTGAGACAGGGTTTTCATTATCTTGCCATTTTGCCACAAAACCCGGTTTCAATACTGTTAGGTCAGGATATTTTATGTTTAAGTGGGATGGCCAAACAGAACTCCAAATTATATTTAGCTCATTAGCTTTGACAGATATTGCTCTCAGTTTGGTACAGACTCTAAGAATTGGGATAAAGGTTTTAGGTTATACTCCTCGACTGGAAATAGTGAAGATCCACATAACATAACTGGCAATAAAATAAAGCATTTAATATCATTATATATATGTTATAAATATATATATATATTGTAAAAAATTTACCCATTTGCACTTGTACCTGAATTGATTTACCATGGTTTCACCATCTATTTTTTACAATGCCTTCCAAACTCAGCAGGAAGGTAAAACAGTTTCCAAAGAACAGATTAACCCAGGCAAAGAATACTTTTTTTTTCAGCTTCAGTGCCAGAAGTACCTGAAGACCTTTCCAATCAGAAGAAATACAGAAAAATAAGTGCCAGGAGACAGATACCAAGCATTGCAATTTCTCCCCAGGAAATGAAAACTTGGCAAAGGTACAGAAAAAAAAAGAAAAAAATTTAACCACTTGCTAGAGCCAGCCCTGCCCATGGCAAGCAAGGGCCATGGAACAGCAAATGCCCAGTGCTCCAGCCTGGCTGATCTTCTGCTGGGTGGCCAGCCAGCCACCAGCACTGTTCTCTCTTGCTGAACGAAGCTCTTCTGTGCACATTTATCTCCTGGAGATAAGATAAGATAAGAAACTACGAGGCGTAGGTTGCGCCCTGCCAGGGAGGTTGGTGCGCACCCAGTCTCCTGCTAGTGTTGAAACCCCTGGTGCCTCTGTCCCATGCCGTGCCCCATCTGGCTGAGCCAGGACCGGCTTCCCCAGCACCAGTGGCACCCAGTCTGGTGTCCCTCCAGCAGTGGCTGACTGTAGGACACATGGCAGTGGGACATCTTCCAGGCAAAGCCTCCTGCTCCTCCACCATGGGCTCCAGCAATGGGAGACACAGCCACCATCACCACGGGCACCTCTGCAGAGCCCTGACAGCACCTTCCTCAACACAGACTACATCAAAGCATCCCAGACACACCCTTTCTTTAAACAACAGCTCAAAATATCCAGACGTCTCTCCCCCTTTCCAGCTATATTCCTCCAAAACAGACACACACAGTTCCACACGCCTACAAACTTCCCTTCTGCTATATGTCTCATCCACATACGGCATGCCCTCAACAAAGTCCTAGGAGCACCTTCAAAGCCTGAAACATGTCAAATTAGTAACCAAGACTGTAGAGGAACATAAAAACTGGTGCCTTACCAAATGACATAAAGCATAAGTGCCTCATTACCAAATCCAAGAGGTATGCCAATGTGAAATAGACTGTTAACAGGACTAAAAATGTGTTTGCCTTCGAGTACCTGTTTCTGAGAGCCACATTCAAAGATCTATTGGATATGCACAGAGCTACCAAACAAGCTCATTTGCAAAGGGAATGAAGCAGGGAAGAATCAATTCATTGAGTGGCAAGGGCGAGAACACTCAAGGAAAGCA